AAACCATGTAGATTCTTTGTGCCAATAATGATCAAATAGCTTTTGATGCTCACATGCTTATTTAAAGCAATATGTCTAGTAACCATAAAATCAAAAACATCTTCAAATAACTCGCACTAAACCTAAGTTACATAAGCATGGATTGACATGGGAGGAGTTTATTACCTGAGCAGAACCAGATGAGGTCCCTTCTGACAAATACAGTGAGATACAAAACACCATGTGCTGCTGCGTACAGCATGACGTAGTACGGTCCCAGGGTCTCCTGAAGACGGACCTCCCACTCCCTCCTGTCACATACACAGAAGTATAACCGAGTTAGTTGACAATAGAGTAATAGTAACTAACATTTCATATGTGACGATGATTAAAGTCTAACAAACACCAGATACCTGTCAGGGCAGCCCTCCTGGACCCCGATTATATAAAAGTCTTGTGCAAATTCAGAGTCTGTTGGGAGGAGAAGGTCATCTAAGTTGGTTGGCAGCCCCTGAAAATATTAGAAATGTGGTTACTTCTCACTTAGTAAGACTTTAAAGGCCTGTTGGTTTGTGAGATGCTGAGTCATGATTTCCTCCCACCTTCTCTCCCTGCATGTTCCAGGTGGCTATGTAGATGCCCACTTTCCTCTCGGGGAAGTGGCGGTCCAGCTCCTCAGCCCCGAGCAGGGCACCGCTTCCCAGCACGCTGCCCTCCAGAAAGCTTCTGCAAAATACACATTGAAAAGCTAAATTAACACTTTTAATGGCAGCCAACTTGCCCTGAAGTGTGCAGCATTGAAAAAAGGAAAGGCTGTCACAGGTGTTAATTCAATAATAAAAGTAAAAACACAATTTCCTCCTGGGCACTGACTGTGCATTGACACTGTAGAATTACGACCCATTTTTGCCGCTCCTTCTGTCAAAAACTTTACTGAGCGAGCATCTCCTCTGATCTCATGTTATTCCCCCACCACTCTTCCACCTTCCCCTCTTTTCCTAAAGATGGGAATGTTGTGCACACAATAAAAGAAATCCTGGGGCCTTGGTTTCAGTGAACCAAGCTCCAAATGCAATGCTAATCAGCTCAAATCAGAGGCTTGCAGTGTATATAAGTTACTATAACTTATACGTATGCAGTGCCTGTACAGAGTAACTTCCTTTTGGTATAAGGGAGTTGAAGCCTTGCCAGAGCTCAGGCTGATACACTATTGACAAAGTAAGCCATATATGCCATTACAAGACTGCATTATTGTTGGAATGGATAGGCCTATATCTAAATTAGGACCTTATCAACCCTTGAAAGAGACAGCCTTCTAACCCCGGAAAGAGTAAGCCTTACAAAACAGCCTTCTCATGCAGTCTGTGGATGGCTCCAGGACATCATTTACATGGTCATGATATGCCTACCTGTTCCTCACATCCTGGGGTCTGATGGGGCTCAGCACGCTGTAGTTGGACCTCATGGAATGGACAGAGGCGCTATCCGAGCCCATGTTCTCCAGAAGCCGGCTGTCGCTCAGGTTCCTGTGGAGTCTATCACTGGGTTTCATTTTGGCCGACACAGTATAATCCAAACAATCCCCGTCAATCCTATTAGCTGCCTTTAAAGTGGCTGACGCAAAGCTCTTCTCCAGAGCAGGCAGGTTCCCCGTGGGCTGCACCGGGGACAGAAGCACCTTGCTGGGCCTGGCCCGTAGGTCTGTCGGGTCGCTCTGCTGGCTGCGGGGCCTCCCCCCATGATCAGAGAGACTGCTCCCTCTGTCCTGGGAGACAGGGGATCCTGATGCAGCAGCAGAGAGGGGTCTCACATTGGATTCCTGGTCATTCCTTGTGGTGGCAGCCTCCCTGAAAACAAACCCACCTTGTGCTGAAGCTGTCAGGTCCTCTTTAAGCGAGTCTGTGGAGGAGCCAGTCTCTACCGGGTCACTCAGACTCTCCTGGCTGTTTTTCAACCTCCTGGTTCTCAGCGTTTCCTCCACTGAGACACTTTTGCTGGACAGCCTGGGTTGTGGGGGTGGCCGAGGCTGGTATGGACTGAACTCCCCCTCTGCATTTCTAGCATTGAGTTTAAGGGCATCTTTGTGTTCCTTGCTAGATTTGGCATCCACTAAAGAGGTCTTGAGGGTCCTGCTGTTGACAGCTGAATCTCTGTTAGCAGGATTTTGGTGATGGAGGGGGCTGTCCTCTCCATTCTCGGTCATCCTCTCGTCATGTCTGAGACCAGCTGTGGTCAGGAGGATGAAGCTCTCTCATTGCTATCTGACATACAGCTGAACCTAAAGAGAATACAATTATTCATTGAGATGCTGCCTTAAAATGAGTTAGCAATACAAGGAACGCTTGCTGTATAACCTGTTTGTCTTATGATATTGGCAATAAAAGACAATGTTAACAATTGTTGACGTGCAACATTACGGTTAGTTAGATATATCTTCAACATTGGCGTAAAGCAACTTAGGCCAGTTGACTAAATAAATACTAGCACCGTGAAGTAGTTATGCTAATGTTAGCAAAGTTAGCTAGGGTCCGAGACTGAGTCGAAAGTCCCCTTGTTTTACAATGTAATCGCTCATAAAACCTCCGTGATTTCTGTTTATTATCTATTAATCCAGCCAACAAGTCAAGTTTAGTAACATAAAACCTACTACACTGCTACCTTCAGCTAAACCTAAACTAGCCTAGCATAACAGAAGCATTATAAAGGCTAGCTGAGCTAACGTTGAAAGCAAACGTTTATAAGATCGCGTTAATAAACAGGAAGTGTTGATAGTTTCTAACATTATGCAGCACAGTTATTGAACTGTTATCACATTGAAGTAAAGTTACCTGTGGTTTACTTTTTGGATTCAGTGTGGCTTATTTAAGAGTAGCTTCCTTAGCAACGTTTGACAACAACTGTTGTTACCAAGACAAGAGAGTCACCGCAGAGAGCAGAGCACGCGCCACAGCGCCCTCCACTGGAGAGAAGTCACAGTGCACCTACATTATTTAAAGGTCCCATGTCATGCTTTTCCGGTTATTTTATATATACAGTCTATGGTTATTACCCGTCCCCTTGTGTGTTATGAAGGTTTTTATGCATGTAAACGGTCTGCAGAGTCAAAAACCCTCAAAATACACCCTGTAGCGAGTAAAACTCTAACACAGAAAATACCTCCCCAAAATGCCTCGTTGGAGATTTCTCATTTTCCATTGTTTACTTCCTGGGTATCGCTACGTAGACATGCTAGGGAAAACATTGTTTTCATGCCAGCTACAATGAATGACCGAACTTAGCAGACTACCCGTATAAGATTGCAATTGTAAACATGTTCTTGCTAGCCTAGACTAGCTGTTGTTCATAGTAGATTGGCATATTACACTGAGCAACTAGCAAACGTAGGTTAGCATATTAGCTGGCAAGCTAACTGTGTTGATTAGATAGATAGATTAGATAGATACACACTCCTACCACAACTACTACTAACGAATCTAAAACAACTAAGTTTCTCTAATATTTTGTGATTTGCATTTGATTTCGTCCAGCCAGATCAGGAAACTCCTGGCGTATCTGGCGGACAACACACACACGGGATGACCACTCTGATGCCTCGTCCTAAAAAGCCCCAGCACCAGCTTACAAAGCTGCGATAGGCAAGATGCCGAAAATGCCTATAAGGGGAGGAATGGATGATATACAGTGTATATATGTATATTTACACATGTTCATTTTGTACATTTCTAAAAATAAAGTTTGATGGAAATACTTAGTATCCTTTCTTCCCTGAATTATTTGCTCCTATAACATATCATTCATATATAGCAAACCATGATTTGATTTCTCATCAAACAGTAGTAGTTTATTACAGGTAAAAATAATTGACTCTTCGATAACAACAGTTGTAGGTACAGTTCGGTTAGTTAGCGTATAAAATTTACGGCTGTACCGACGCCATTATAAGACTGATGTTCCGCTCAGAGCGAGCCGAAAAAAGCACTGTTAGACATGGGCGGAGCCTCTCTGGTGGTTGACTAATCAGAACAGAGTGGCCGAGCTGACCAATCGGAGCAGATTGGGCTCACATGGAGGGGGGGGGGCAAGAGCTCCAACGAGCCGTTTAGGATAGAGAGTGAATACCGGTGAATACACATACTTTACAGAGATGCTGTATGCGAAACCAATGTGAGTTTGGAAAATTGCACAGTATAAATCTATTTTAGTATACCTCAACAATGGAATTATGATCAGTGGAAATGGCCATGACATGGGACCTTTAAATCTACCGGTACAGCAGACTTCATGTCATAATGGTGCCTGTATCCTGATGGGAATTGTTGAATTGAGTGGGTTAATAAACTATATCCAAAATACATTTTCATTCAATTTGATTTTGTTTTCCCTTTCATTTTATATATATATATATGTTTATTTATATTTTAACATCACCTCATTACTTACTTCTGTTCCATTTACTCACACATTATCGGTGTAAAACAATCAACGTCATTATAACTTTTTTGCGTATAGTAATAGAATAACAAATGTTTACACATTTTGTATACAGTTTTCAATTTTTTTAATGTTATTCTCTTTTTTGCCATGTTCAACTTTTATACAATTATTATACCATGACATCCTCATCATAAAACTTACAAAAGTTGACAAACAAATAATGCACTTACTACAAGAAAATGAAGTAACTAAACAGCTACAGTAGGTGTCAGGAAAAATAAAAACAACAGTTATAAATGGTGTAACTGACACAATGACTTTACAATGTCCAGGTATTAGCCCAAATTGTTAACACTTTCAATGTTTTTGTGACGCCCTCACGAGAAAGGGCCGCTTAAAGGATTCCTAAGCTCCCTGGCCCCTGGAAATGTGGACAATCACTCCATATTCTTTGCATTTCTATGGCTCTGTTGCTGGCTCAGGGGGTTTAGACAAAAGGGTTAAGTCTGCCGGTCAGGTATAAAAGCAAAGGGTTAAACCAGGTAGAGTACAGTTCAGTCCAAGAGCAGCAGCAGTACCACCAGCAGCAGCAGACCACTGACCAGCAAGATGACTTCCTCCGGAATGAACATGAACAGCAAGGTAAACTCTCTGATTTTCATAATGTCACAAAAACTAAAGATAATCTGCAAATTGCCATTGTGAGTTGAGTCTCATGTATCAGTGCTACTTGAAAACTGCTGCAGTTTTCGTTTTATAATGATTAAATGTATCTTGTAGCAGGCAAGTTGTCACCCAACTCGGCAGTTTCCCTTTCAGCTCTACAAAGCTTTAAAGGGTCGTTAGTTTTTGTTTGGAGGCCGTCCATTTTACTGTTTGGTTTTACTCTCACAGCTCTTTGTGTCATTTGGGTCGCAACAGGCAGCTGTTTAACTGTAAAAAAGCTCTAAAAACACAACCTGCCCAGCACTAAAGGGCATTCAAAAAACGTTAGTTTGTGACTTTATCGAAGTATTAAGCAGGTTATGATTCAAGCATTTAGCTAAAGAATAGACACAATAAATGTAATTATCTAGACAATCATCAAGTGGTCAGAAATACAGCTCCAAATAAATACTGATGTTGCTCCATGCCTTCTGCATGTGTAAATAGGTAACTGTGTTGTGTTGGAGCTTGTTTCTGCTGCTGGACAAAACATCAGTTTTTGCAGCTATACTAAGGGTTATCCTTAACAGCAGTGCATCCAAAGAACGCTTGATTCACATTGAACGTGTTTCATGTTTTCCTACATTAGACATGTACAGCTTTCAACCTAAACACATGATGCTAACCAGACACTTTCCCTCTCCCTCTCTCAGATCACCTTCTACGAGGAGAAGAACTTCCAGGGTCGCTCCTATGAGTGCATGAGCGACTGCTCCGACATGTCCTCCTACCTGAACAGGTGCCACTCCTGCAGGGTGGAGAAGGGCTGCTTCATGGTGTACGACCGCACCAACTACATGGGAAACCAGTACTTCATGAAGAGGGGCGAGTACGCCGACTACATGAGCATGATGGGCATGAGCGACTGCATCAAGTCCTGCCGCATGATCAACATGGTAAGATCTCACACCTGGCTAGATTTACTGTAGACCAAATCTCCATATAGAGATCATGCTGAAAATATGAAATTCTCTGAGTTAAACCCACCCTTCTTTTGCACCACAGCACAGGGGATCCTACAGGATGAAGATCTACGAGAGGGAGAACTTCGGAGGTCAGATGTCCGAGCTGATGGACGACTGTGACAACGTCATGGAGCGTTTCCGCATGTCCAACTGCATGTCCTGCAACGTGATGGAGGGCAACTGGCTGATGTACGAGCAGGCCCAGTTCAGAGGCAGGATGATGTACGTGAGGTCCGGCGAGTACAAGAACTTCATGAACATGGGCCAGAACAGCATGAGGTTCATGAGCATGAAGCGCATCAACGACTCCTGCTATTAACTCTCTTGGCACTCAATAAAACTGTCATAACCTAAACTGCTTCTGTGTTTGAGTATTTATTTTTCTGAGTACAGTTTACATCAATTTAGAGTAGGTCACACTTCTGTTGCTGGCTGTAACTCACAGGGACTTCTCAAAGAGACGGTTATAGAAGATTCGCTAACCCTAACCCTTTTCTAAATTTCCCAACCACATTTCTAATCAACAACAATCTCATGCCTCCAATCTCTTGGCAGATAGTGATTCAGGTGCTGGATTGTGTAATTGTACACAGAAATCTGCTCAATCGAATACATTAGCACTGCAATACACATGTTTATATTGAGGTTATATCTCTCACAGGCTCCGCCCTCTACTGGACTCTATGGGTACTCCCCTCGATCCTATCATGCAAGCATTCATCCACTGAGACTTTCTAGATGTAGCCGGCCCCTGGGCGGGCCTACCTGAATGCGCGCGCATCTCGCATAAAAGGAAGCCTCGCCTCCTTACTGTCATCCCTTTCTCTTCAGCAAGGCAGTGAGATACAACTGAGTGAGAGACGGATAAAAATATAAGACAACGAAGAAAATTGACTCACCATTGGAGCGCCCCTGTCCTTCGTGTCCGAGGGCGATGACCCCCACTGTCGGTGCATCGAGTGCCTGGGGTCCGACCACGCGGCGGCCAACCTGGGCCCGCTTGCAGTCTGCAGCGCCTGCCAGCTATTTCCTCGCCCCGGCCGCCATCAACGGCTGGACCAGTTTGAGGGTTGCTACGTCTCGCCGGTGGAGGACCCAGAGCTCGACGTGGTGGAGATGGAGGACCTCGAGGAGGGAGTGCCCTTCGTGTTCGCCATTCCAGCGGACCGGGCGGGTCCAAGCGTCGGGGAGAGGGACGACAATGACGACACCTCGTCGTCTGGGATTTGCGGCGACCGCCAGGAAGGCCAACAGCACAGGTCTGCGCGACAGGTCTTCCCGGCGGTGATGACTGATGAATAATCTGGTCCACGGTATAGCTACCGCAGCCGGTCTTGTGATGGCCCTGACCACCGCGGCGCCGCGTCACGTGTGGCTAGGTTTGACCGCACTGACCAGGAAAGACCAAGACGATCTCCTTGGGGCCCCCGTTGCCACGGAAGGGCTCTTCGGATCGATATCCTCGGTCACCCAACGCTTCAGTCGCCTGGAGGGAGAGAGGGCGCAGCTCAGCCGCATGCTGCCGTTGGCTCGCCCTCAGGTCTCTCCGCAAGGGAGAGAGCGCCCGGCGGTGGTAAGGCGGAGAGAGAGGCGCCGGTTCAGAGCCCCTAGAGCTCCTGGCGCGCCCTCTGCCTCCGCGGTCCGTCCTGAGGTACCGGCTCAGTACCGGCCCCCACGAGGACAGACTGACCGAACCCGGCGGGCTCCCGCTCCGGCCCCCGCTCCGGCTCCCGCTCCGGTTCCACTGCAGCGAAGGGGTACTGGGTGGGGAGCTCCGTCTTCCAGGAGTTGACTGGCGGCGGGAGGAAGCGTCCCGGCGGAGAGAGGGGATTTCTCCGGCCAGGACGAGGGCGAATCCCACCTCCTCCCTGTTTGACCCATTGGTTGCAAAATCTTCTTTACAAAATAAAAAAAATAAATTGTATTCCAGTCTGAGTGTCTTTTCTTTCCACACACCCACACAGCCACGTAATGTTGACAGTACAGTTTCCCCACTCGCTGCCCAGGTTGTAACTCCAGTAAAGGAGGCAGCTAGTGCGCATGCGCGGGTGAGAGTGATAAACCGCGCTATGCGGGTACAGGGACATTATGGCCGGCATAGCAGGGTTAGGAAACAATTAACGCTGAGTGTAAAAACTCTGCTTTGCAGTCTGCGACAGGGGGCAACAACCCTGGGTCTCATGGCGGCGGCTCACGTTGTGGTCCCGCTTGGGTTACTGCATATGCGCCGCCTGCAGAGGTGGTTCTCCAGCCTGCGTTTAGATCTCAAGAGACACAAACGGCGTCTGGTGACCATCCCCCCCTCAGTGGAGGGCAACCTCCAGTTCTGGGGGTCCCCGGATCACCTCCGGAGGGGGTCCCCACTGGGACGGGTGACCTCCTACATCACAGTGTTCACGGATGCATCCGGAACGGGATAGGGAGGGACCTGCCTGAAGAGGGCTATAGGTGGGCGCTGGTCTCTAACAGAGACACGGCACAGCAACCTCCTAGAGCTACGGGCGGTAGTGTTGGTCCTCCAGCATTTCAAACCCTTAATTCAGGGGAGACATGTAATGGTCAGGAGCGACAACACCACCACAGTGGCATATATCAACAGGCAGGGCGGAGTCCGCTCCGCCGCTTTGTTGACCACAGCGGAGAAATTGTGGTTATGGGCTTCAGAGGTGGTGTTATCTCTGAGAGCCCTCCACATCCCGGGTCTGGAGAACAGGGGGGCCGACCTCATGTCGAGGGGCGGACCCCTACCAGGCGAGTGGGCGCTTCACCCGGAGGTGGTGAAGCAGATCTGGGCCCGGTTCGGGACAGCAGAGGTGGATCTGTTCGCCAGCCGGCGCAACAGCCACTGTGCCCTGTGGTTCTCCATGGCTCTGAGCGACGACCCGCCCTTGGGGGTGGAAGCGTTTGCACACGAGCCATGGCCAAAGAAGCTGCTTTACGCCTTTCCACCGTTGTGTCTCATTCTCCCACTCCTGGGGAGAGTGAGGCGAGAACGTCTGGCAGTCATCCTAGTAGCGCCGGATCGCGTGGGGGCGCTGTGGTACTCAGAGATGACACAGATGATGAAGGTGGGCCAGCCCTGGGCACTCCCCCAAGTCTGGGGGGCGATCTCTCAGGAGGCAGGTGCAATCGGGGCGTTACCCACTCTGGGCCAACCTCTCCAGGCTTGGCTCCTGAGAGGGACAGTCTAAGGCAGGGTGGATTGTCTGATAGTGTTATTCAGTCTATCCAGGCAGCTAGAGCAGGATCCACCACAGCCTGTCACAGGCCAAAGTGGCTGGGATTCCTGCGATGGTGTAAGGAGCGGAGAATAGAGCCCCTATCTTGTGAATTGGGATCTATTTTGTCGTACTTACAGTTATTGGTGGACAGGGGGCTTGCTCATTCCACAGTGAAAATGTATGCAGCAGCCATCTCGTCCTGCCATGAGGGATTTGGCGGCAGGTCAGCCTTTTCTCAGCCACTAATGTTGCGGTTTTTGCGGGGGGTCAGGAGGCTGCGCCCAGTAGTGCGCGGCTCCGCCCCGCAGTGGGACCTGCCGCCGGTGCTCGAGGCTCTGGTCACAGAACCATTTGAGCCTCTGGAGCTCTCCTCCCTGAAAGCACTGTCGTGGAAGACAGCATTGCTACTTGCCTTAACGTCAGCCAAAATAGTTAACCGCTCTATCGGTGCACCCGAGTTGTTTAATGATCCGGGTGACCAGAGCGGGGCGACACTCAGACCGAACCCCTCCTTCGTGCCCAAGAGCCTAAGGAGTGCGTTCAGGTCGAGGGCTATTCAGTTGGGGGGCTTTAGTCTTCCCCCCCATAGTGGGGCGAGGGAGGCTAAATTACACCTCCTCTGCCCGGTGCGTGCGCTGGCATATTATGTGGAGCACACGGCTGCCCTTAGACGCACTGAACAGCTGTTTGTGGGGGACGTGACTCACACATGGGCCCATAGGGGCGGGAGGACTCTTTTCCCCCTGCTTTAGGGCAGGAGGGGGGAGTCCTCCACGTCGTAAGCGCGGGGTAAGCGCGTCAGGGTGTGCTCTGTCAGCCTCTTTTCTCTCCACGGTTACGACCGAGGGAGAGGTGAGTGAGGCGCAGCGGCTGCTAACCAGAAAGCCGGTCAGAAACAGTGAGATGGAAGAGTGTTGTTGTGGGACGACAGCGCGTGTATACATCGGGGCCTGTGAGAGATATAACGAGGGGTTACGTATGGTAACCCTTGTTATATAAACACAGGCGGAGCCCTCTACTCAGGGGCCCTGTCTGTTCTATGCTGCTTGCTGAAGAGAAGTAAAGGATGACAGTAAGGAGGCGAGGCCTACTTTTATGCGGTGAGATGCGCGCGCATTCAGGTAGGCCCGCCCATGGGCCGGCTACGTCTAGAAAGTCTCAGTGGATGAATGCTTGCATGATAGGATCGAGGGGAGTACCCATAGAGTCCAGTAGAGGGCTCCGCCTGTGTTTATATAACAAAGGTTACCCTACGTAACCCCTCGTTTCTAGAATTTACCCTTCTTTTACCATGTATCGGTTTCTGACCATGTTCATTATATATATCCTTTATTTAACCAGGTAAAAAGTCTCATTGAGATTAAAATCTCTTTTTCAAGAGCGACCTGGCCAAGTGAGCAGCATGAACAAAGTTACAACAAATAAAACACAGACAACACAGGAAGACGATTACAGCTATCGTAAAACACAAATGAAATGGCACATTATCCAGTCAATATGCAAATAAAAAAAACTGTTATAATAAAGCATCAAAACTGGCACAATTTTAAAACAACTTAAATTAGGGGATATAAGAGCAATCACATAGACCAAGAGTATTTTGTTCTCTGTCCTTTAAGATGAACCTGAACTCCCCCATCAAATCTGACAGTTTCAGCTCCTTCTGTACATTATTCCAGGCAGAAGGGGCAGCATATATGCATGTTTTGCTCTCGTCATTTCAGTTCTTCTTTTTCTTCTTAGATCTGATGCATTAAAAAGGACTGTACGTTTAAAGGGAGTGTGAAGGTAGATGTCCATGTGTTCTGTGCACTGGGGCTGTTTACCATCTGTGAAGCTTTTTGATTTGCAGCTGAGTAGCAGTGAAACAAACTGCTGCTGGACTCCTTGTTGTAATGTAAATCGTGGCTTTTGTCAGCTGAAATCGTCGCACTGAGCTGGAGGAAGTTTAGTCTTATCCTGAGTGAAATTCAAATTTGTTGAGTCTCTCACATAGTAAACTTGGACATTGTCACATAAATATTGGAATAGCTGGGATGTAATAACACTGCTCCAATTTGGCTTCAGTCTTATTCAGAGTTGCTATGAGATGTAAATA